CCCCCCCCCCCCCCACCAAACAAGCCCTTTCCTCCCAAATTTACCTCAACTCCCTACTCACAATGACCTCCCATACTGCTGCCGTTGCTGCTGCTGCTGCTGCTGCTGCTGCCGTCGAATGTTCCCTCTCTCCCCTTCCAACTGCCGCCCCTGAACCCATAGAAACCCACAGCTGGGTCGAGAGCCTTGCTAAAAGCTTAATTGAACCCCTGCAAAAAAAAAGGATAACCATGCCTCGAAAAAGCACTTCTCGAGCCGTGCCTCGGTAAAGGCTTTCCCGAGCAGAGCTCGAAAACACTTGCCCAGTGGATAGACAAGAACCCGAAAAGTCCGATGCGCCAAGCCGAGGCTCAAAAAGGCTGGCGAGCCGAACCTCAGGAGTGGGGAGCCCAGGCTCAAAAAGGCTAGGGGGGGGAGCCGAGCAGAGCCGAGTCGAGCCGAGCCGAGCCGACAAGGGAGGAGAGTCTTTCATTAACCTTTCCCTACTTCATTCACTCCGCCGCCTTCTTTATGGCCCGTCCATTAGACGAACCGGATTAGAGCTGAGAAACCCCAACACCAACACCAACCCTCCGCGCGCGAGACACCAGCAACGCCAAACCCAAGCCCGCTTTCGCCATGCGACGCAGCCATTCCCGCGTGATCCTGTTCACTTCCACCACCACCACCACTTCTGCAATACTTCACCGGAACTCGCATCGTCCCTGACCATTCGCATTTGCTAGCCATCCACTGCGTTCTGATTGCGGGAATCTATGTCAAGAATACATCTCTCTTCCTTGCCTTCGGATGCTCTCCGGTTGCTTCTGCTTCTTCACCATTCTTCTTCATCAATCCATCCATCCTCTCTCCACACGCCAAAACCACCATCCCACCGTTTGGCCTCTGCGCCTGCCCTCATGCTCCTGCGGCAGCGTCTCTCCATACACGGAGAGGAGACAGTTTCTCTTGCTTTTTGCCATTTTTGCCATTTTTTTCATTTTCTTTCTCTTTAAACGCCAGAGGGTTAGACCTTCCAGTCACACGTGTCTTCAGGCATCACAAGCATGAACGGGGAATTTTGGTTGACCTAAAAGCATTACGTCTCGCCATCCTCTCTCTCTCTCTCTCTCTCTCTCTCTCTCCCACACCCACACCCACATACACAAACACAAGCACACAGGCTAGCGCACACCCACTCAACCAATCGCTCACGCTCACACACTCACCTGCTTTAGGAACGGATCACCGACTTTATGGACTTCGCGACCGATACAGGATGTCATTTGCTCCCATAGAAGCCACCAGCGAGTCAAGACTCCAGAAAATAAAAAATGGCATTTGAATGAATGCGAGGGATCGATTGCTCCAACCTCTGTGCACATTGAATTGCACACAACTGCGCCTCTCTCTCTCTCTCTCTCTCTCTCTCTCTCTCTCTCTCTCTCTCTCTCTCTCTCTCTCTCTCTCTCTCTCTCTCTCTCTCTCTCTC